ACTACATGTGCCACAAGTTGAAAACTAAAAATCAACAAAAGGCCATAATTCTGTTAAATTTGGTCGCAGCAAAAATTCCTTCCTTAACTACAATCTACACATTAAGGTTGTTAATCCCTGGAAGTTTAAGCAAAATCTGCCATCCGGTTTAAGAGAAGTTGCGTTCACAAAATTTCTACATAGTATATAGTGAAAAAAATCAACAAAGGGCCATAATTCTGTAAAATTTGGTTGCAGGGAAAATTCCTTCCTTTACTGCCATCTACACCTTAAGGTTGTTCATCCCTGTAAGTTTAAGCAAAATCTGCCATCCGGTTTAAGAGGAGTTGCGTTCACAAAATTTCTACATAGTATATAGTGAAAAAATCAACAAAGGGCCATAATTCTGTTAAATTTAGTCGCAGCAAAAATTCCTTCCTTAACTACCATCTACACATTAAGGTTGTTCATCCCTGTAAGTTTAAGCAAAATCTGCCATCCGGTTTAAGAGGAGTTGCGTTCACAAAATTTCTACATAGTATATAGTGAAAAAATCAACAAAGGGCCATAATTCTGTTAAATTTGGTCGCAGCAAAAATTCCTTCCTTTACTGCCATCTACACATTAAGGTTGTTCATCCCTGTAAGTTTAAGGAAAATCTGCCATCCGGTTTAAGAGGAGTTGCATTCACAAAATTTCTACATAGTATCTAGGGAAAAAATCAACAAAGGGCCATAATTCTGTTAAATTTGGTCACAGCAAAAATTCCTTCCTTTACTACAATCTACACATTAAGGTTGTTCATCCCTGTAAGTTTAAGCAAAATCTGCCATCCGGTTTTAGAGGAGTTGCGTTCACAAGATTTCGGGACGTACGGACGGACGGACTGACGGACTGACCTATTAACAGACGGACATGTGCAAAGCTATATGCTCCCACATTGTGGAGGCATAAAAAGCAAATCAAACTTATGGGACCTGAGCCAATCATGTTAGGTAATCACAGACAATAAGCATGTGGAGTTTAAACCTGTCTCTTTTTGAAATACCAAATTGTAAACTAGAACGTAACCGAAGTGTGAAGCCCACAGATGCTGATGCCTGGGTGAGTACAATTATATACTGCTCTCCAAATTTTTTTTAATAGTTTAAAGCCAGGAATATTAAACAACATACTTGAGCTGACACTTTAGCGCCAGACCATATTTACAACAATTTTTTTGAAATCATGCCATTTAATCTGTTGTCATGACCAAAATATTTTTTGAATTTAATAATCCATTTTATTGGTCAAGACCAGTTACTTGTGTACAAAATTTCTGATCATTCACTCATTCTATTTCTCACAATATTTCAAATTAAAAAAAGACCCAAAATTCAAATCAGGCTAAGAATAGCACCAAAATACCATTTTCAATCATTTTCCGAGGATATTGCTCAATTATCTTTTGCATATCTTACTTTTTGTTTAAAGTGCCTCAGTTGATCTAAGTAAGAAATTAAAATTTTATGTTTTAGGCCTTTAAATCTTAGTGGCTTAGTGATATTCCTTTAAACTTCTAAAAAAAACAACAACACATTTTGGCATGAAAAGTCACATGACACGCACCTGCTCAGTATCATTTGTATGCAGCAGAACTCAAAATTTCTATTTTGTGGCAGGCATCGAAAATTATTTTCAGAATCACTTGTCCTGCAAGACAAGTACCTACGAGCACCTATTGTGCAGGCAACATTTTTCTACTCGTCCTGCATCGAATTCTCTAAAATCTGTTCGTAATTTAAAGAGCAGACAAGTGGAATTTTCGACCTCTGTAAGGCATTTTGCATGGAAACATGATTTCTTACTCTTACTGGACATTGAAGTTTTCAAACTTTGTCCTTGACCTCTATCATGCAACATGCTGTATAGTTTTATTTTCAGGGCCACATCCATTCTGTCATTTAATATATTGAACATAAGAAAGCCAAAAAAAATGCGACCATCAAGATAACATTTTATTTGGCAATTATAAGTCCCTAGCAGGATTTAAACCCACAGCTAGCTGGGAGGTGCAAACAATTTCAAGCCAATGACCTTGAACCATTCCGCCACAGAGACTCTCTGGTAAAAGGACAGCAAGGGTTCAAGAACCATATAAAAGATAATTGATAAAATACCACTGTTGTAAATCAAGCAAAATAGGTTATTTTGATAAAGAGATCTACACCTGAACAAAAATAAACTTCTGTAGTTTCCTATATCTAATTGAAAGGCTTGAACATTCTAAGAAAAACATAATTCATTAAATTTTAATGAACAAATCTCTGAAATTTTGCTTTTTTCCCATGACTTTCACAAAGAAGTTGTTTATTTTTTATTTCATAAATTCCTCACTCTGACCCGATATATCCATGGAGGTCCCTTCATCGAGTTGATAAAATAATCATTTTAAAAACAAGAAGAAATATCAAAAGAATTCTCAAAATGCTTCAAAAACTTATAATCAATATGACAAACTGATAATCAAATTTCCCCCCCCTTGATTAATATCCAAAATTTATATGCTATCTTCACCAAAAAATTATGATACGCATCTGTGATAATACAGTCAAACATGATAATAAAGACCATAACATTGTTTAGGAGTGAAAAAGACGCAAGTTAATGCACATGTGAACTGTAAACTCGTGGCAACCCACTCAATCTATGGGCAGAGCGTGAATATCAGGGCAGAATGGGCCAAATTTTTTTTTAACCTTTTTGTCTGTCCAAACACTAATGGACCAATGTCAGGTAGTCTTGTTTTTGATACAAAAAAGCAAGTTATGTTCACTTTGTTTTGTTTCCTTTTATTTTTACAGCGCACCGACACAATTCAGGTCATAAGACGCCAAAATAGGAATGATGATTTTAGCTAAACTCAAACTTAAAGCAACACCAGATGTCAAACCACATCACCTGCTGGAGCTAAGAGATGCATAGACTCCAGTTATTCAAACCCATTAAGTCGGCTCTTACGATCACGCAAGGATAAACTATGGCTGCAATTCTGATGCCTCAACCCTTAAGGGCAGGGAAATGTTCAGGGTTTTTTAATAACTTGCTTTCTGAAGAGATTACTGAAAGTGTTTGGTAGGATCTTGACCCCAGTAACCCCTTTAATACTCCACAAAAAGTTAAAGGACCTTTTGACCATAGAGGTATCCACCAAATATGGAAGATATCCTTAAATATACAAAGTTATTATGAAACAAGAGGGCCATGATGGCCCTAGATCACTCACCTGACCCATCAAACTCATCCAAACAATTACCTAGACAAGCATTCTAACCAAGTTTCATGACAGGTGAGTCAAAAATGTGACCACTAGAGTGTTAACAAGAATTATCCATATTTGAGCAGTGTGACCTAGTTTTTTACCCATGTGACCCATATTCAAACTTGACCTAGAAATCATCAAAATAAACTTTCAGACCAATTTCCAGGATACTTAGATCAAAACAGTAGCCACTAGAATGTTAACAAGATTTTTCTATTTCTAGCTCCGGTAACCTAGTTTTTCATCCGAGATGACCCATGTTAAAACTCATCCGAGTAATGACCTAGACAAGCATCCTGACCAACTTTGATGATAATTGAGTCAAATATGTGACCAATAGAATGTTAACAAGGTTTTTCCATATTTTGGCAGTGTGACCTAGCTTTTTGACCCCAGGTGACCCACATTCGAACTTGACCTAGAAATCATCAAAACAAACTTTCAGACCGATTTACAGGATATTTGGATCAAAACAGTAGCCACTAGGGTATTAACAAGATTTTTTCTATTTTTAGCTCCTGTGACCTAGTTTTTCATCCGAGATGACCCATGTTCGATCTAATCCAAGCAATTATCTAGACAAGCAGCCTGACCAAGTTTGATGACAATTGAGTCAAAAATGTTACCACTAGAGTGTTAACAAGATTTTTCTATTTTTAGCTCCTGTGACCTAGATTTTCATCCGAGATGACCCATGTTCAAACTCATTTGAGTCATCACCTAGACAAGCATCCTGACCAAGTTTGGTGATGATTGAGTCAAAAATGTGGCCGCTAGAGTGTTAACAAGGTTTTTCTATTTTTAGCTCCTGTATCCTAGTTTTTCATCTGGGATGACCCATGTTCAAACTCATCCAAGCTATCACCTAGACAAGCATCAATTTTTCTATATTTAGTATTTGTGACCTTGACTACAGATGTCCAAATGCAATACCAATTCAGTTCTCCATATTGCTAAATACCAAGTTTGATAAAGATATCTCATTCCTTCTGGAAACCATTTTACTATTTTTAGTAATGACGACCTTGACCTTGACCCCAGGGGGTCCAAATGTTATTGCCCATAAAACCATTTATCTATTTTTAGTAACTTTGACCTTGACCCTAGGGGTTCCAAATGCAATACCAACCTGGGTCTTCATATAAGTTTGCTAAATAGCAAGTTTGATTGCAATATCTCATCCTAACTCTAGTTATTGTCCAGAAACCATTTTTTTATTTTTAGTAACAGTGACCTTGACCTTGATCCTAGGGAGTCCAACAGCTATACCAAGCGGGGTTTCCACATAAGGTTGCTATATACCAAGTTTGATTACAATATCACATTCCAAATTCTGGTTATCGTCCCAAAACCATAAAGTAGACCGTCTGACCGACCAACAAGCTGACTCCCATATACCTTCCCTAAACTTCATTTGTGGGGGTATAATAAAAGAATAAATTTCTAAACAAGTACAAGTATTTTTGGAGAAAAGAATGCCTCCCTGGTTGAAATAAATTATTTAAAGAAATTCATAATTATAAATTTCAATGCTGAAATATTTTAGGATGTCTAGCCATATTACCAACCACACTAGTTTAAATTTGATCTCTCCACAATCAGACGCAGAGAGGCATGGTAACCTATAGATTGAAGGCAGCAAGCTTAGAGATTATTCTCAAACTTGGTCACCCAGGAGAGGGTCAGAGATTATTTTTGACTGGTTCAAAACTTTTCTCACCTGTCTGAGACTTGCTTCAATGAACTTGAAAATGCCAGAATTCATCTTGAAACTGGAGAACCTGTCTGAAATTTTTAACAAAAGTTGCTGTCATTCAAAATATGATTTATATGTTATATCATTTTATAAATAATTACAGGCATACCTATAGAAAACAGAACAGATTTATTAATTAACTTTTCATGATTTCCAAAGAATATAGGTATTTCTCTTTCAAACAAATTGCACAAAGATATCATGCATTTTCTTTAATTGGGATTCTGAGAAGAACTTTTTGTTCAGTCTTTCAAAAATATTGAGGTTCATAATTACAGGGCAATGATCATAATTTTAGAATGGGCTTGTATTGAAATAAAGCATATTAACCATTACCAAGCAATAACACTATACAAGACCCTCATTTCAAAATATTTTGGGGGCAAAAATTTCTCAATCTCATCGAATTTTTTTTTAAATTTTACCTGCCTTATGAAGGTGACCCTAAACAATCCCTAAACAATATTTTTTTTTCTTTCAAAATGAAATATGTAATACCCCTTTTTCTTCAAACCATAAGGAATATCCCAATTTATTGTCGCCTACCTGTGGGCTTCTGGTCCCAGCCCTCTATAATGTAATCAGGTCCTTACTATTCATTAGAATTTGACCAAAAAATCATTATTTATGACACAGTGACAACAACCAAAAATAATATGGGTATTGTAAAATGATAAAATGAGCCGAGTGTATTGTCTTTCCTTGACCATAGCGACAAAAGTTCCAAAATGGTACATTTATCAAAATGATTTATTCTTCTACAGATGGGTAGATAATTATGTTCACAAAAGACTGGGAAAAATACTTGTAAAAATAGTATTTTTATACTTTGTTTTTATAATGCCGAGGGCTCTTGTGGGTGACAAATATGTAATACCATTGTATTGTAACTGTATGTATATTTTTCTTCTTTTGTTTCCTTTTTTTGGCAATAAAGTAAAATATGTTTAAATCAGTGGATGGATACCTGGACTTTCAACATAATACATTAAAGATTAACGGCAAATATAAAATGATTCCTATCCTATCATATAGACAAGTCGCTTAATTAATACAATTGTGTTGTGTCGCATGAGCAAGTTTGACTGTATGTTTAAATCAGTGGATGGAAATGATTTGAATACTGTGCACAACCTTGACCTTTAACATTTTACCCCCCCCCCCCCCCCCCCCCCCCCCCAAAAAAAAAAAAGCTAGAACTATCACTAAATGTGATTAATACCCCGCAAGACTACTTCAGAAAAGAGGATGTTACTAGTAACAGAATACCTTGTTAAAGAATTGCAATAGAGTAATGGTTGAGAATTAAAGATAGTTGTGGTTCTTGTATGTTGCATTTCCTTTCAATATGGTTGGCCATTGATGAAGTTTTATTGAATTACTCTGTAATAAGTCCAGAAAGACAAGGAAAAGGAACAAAGGGCAATAACTCTATAAATACTGAAGATAAGTCCAAATAGAGTTATGGTTCTTGTGCACTGCACTTCATCTCACTGTCCTTGACCATTGTATAATGTTTTATTGAATTCCAACCATTAATTTTCAAGTTATGCACTGGACAATAAAAAGGAACAAAGGGCAAAAACTTTTAAATGAGTCAAGAAAAGAGTTATGGTTCCTATGCACTGCGCTTCCTCTCAATATACTTGACCATTGTATGAAATAGTATTGAATTCCAACCAGTAGTTTTCAAGTTATGCTCTGGACAAGAAAAAAGCAATGGAAAAGTAACAAAGGGCAATAACTCTATATAATTACTTTGGACAGAGTTATAGTTCTTGTGCACTGCACTTCCTCCTATTGTTCTTGACCATTGTATGAAGTTGTTTTGAATTCAAACCAGTATGTTTCAAGTTATGCTCCGGAAAAGTAACAGGGGGCAATAACTCTGTAATTAGTCAAGATGGAGTTATGGTTATTATGCACTGCACTTCCTCTCAATGTGCTTGACCATTGTATGAAGTTTTATTGAATTCCAACCATTAGTCTTCAAGTTATGCTCCGGACAAAAAAAAAGCAAGGAAAAGTAACAAAGGGCAATAACTTTGTAATTAGTCAAGATGGAGTTATGGTTCTTATGCACTGCACTTCCTCTCTATGTGCTTGACCATTGTATGAAGTTATATTGAATTCCAACCATTAGTTTTCAAGTTATGCTCCGGACAAGGAAAATGCAACGGACTGCTGGACCGACCAACCGACCACCTGGTGACTCCTATATACCCCCCCAAACTTTGTTTCTGGGGTATAAAAACAACAGGTTTTACTGTTTTTTACCTCAATCATATTATAATTATCCTTTGAAGCTTGTGACCAAAGAAGGCAAATGTTTTGTCATATTTAAACAGATAAGTCATTTAAACTTATTAGTATGGCATTTCAATGTTCTTGACCTTTGGCCTATTGACCATTTAAATAGTATCTGGATTGTCCACTATACTACACTAATATGTTTAGATATATTTCAAGTGAGATAATCAAATCTTTAAGTAGAAACAAGAGTTATAGAATTACCTCCCATACAAATTTCTAAACAGTTAATGGAAAAGAAAGAAAGAAAGAAAGAAGAAAGAAAGAAAGAATGATTCCTTTTTTGTTATTCATATGCAAGTAAATCTCAAATCTTGGAAAAGTATATGTATATTAGTTTATCTCAGACCATTCAAGTAATGTATTACCAACCAAGTTTGATAAATAAGACACTTGAAAGTTATAGTATAGTACAGTCCCTGGGGACCTTTTGTGTGCAAAAAGGTCCATGGATAAATGATATACCAATGTAAAGCTAAATGTTTGAAGTTTACAAAAAATTTGGGTAGACATGTCAAATAATGGTACGTTTAGAGAAATCCAAGATGGCCGCCAAGATGGCCGCCAAATTATTGAAAAATGGCTAATACGCAATTTATATGATAAAATTAGTTCTTTTTTGTATTTATTTTGGTACAGGTGCTGTTAAAACTTCACATACTATTGGAAGAATATGAAAAAGGGTCATTTTCCTTTTTCTTATGCATATACTCTTGTTTTCATAGAGATATTTTGCTAAAAAAGCATGAAAAAGTAACAAAAATCGACATGGGGCTGGCATTTTTTCCTATCAGTCGAGACATAGTGGTGAAAACTAATATTTTTACCATATTATACAAAGACCTGATCAACAACTTACTAATGGTACCCTTATTTTAATTTTTATTGTGTAAGACTGTGAATTCTGACATTCCTAGAGTGGGTGGGGTACACTTAAATTGAGTCCCAATTTCTAGTGAACTGATATATAACGATTATTAAGACTAAGAATAACCAACAAGATTACATTTTAAAATGTTCATAAGTCTCTAATTTTCTAAAAGGTAGATTTTTATTCTACAAGCAACATTAATTGGTTCTGTTGCCATGGCAACAAAGTGGTTAAATGAGAGAAACCCCGGAAACGTATGAGGCTTTCGGTTTTATCATTTCAAGCATGTTGTAGAAGTTAATGTCATGATTATGCATTACAGAATTCAGATACATTTGGATACATTTGAAACATAAAAAAAATCATTTCAAATTTCACTATATTGACTTTCCATGAAAAAACACAAATTTGAATTAAAGCATCGGTAACATTTTGCTGAACCGTTACTGTAACAATAAAAACGCTTAAAGTTTTAGAGACAAAAGATAATAATGAAATCTACTCAGAGTTATATTGAAAAATAAAATTTATGCTTGATGTTTGGCCCGATTTGAGAAAAAAACTTTTCACCATTCTTCTTTATTGGTCATTAAATAATAATAATAAATAACAAATAAAGCAAAAAAAATCCCACAGATCATATGTGATAAGAAGGAATAGACAATATGTCAATATGTTGTGATGAAGAACGTCTTCAAGATAATGTGCCATAGATGCATCTGGAAAACCTAAATGATTGTGTTCTCATCTCAATGCAATACAAGCCCAGCTGAAATATTTTAACAGTTGGAGAAACATGGATAAAATCACCATTTTGTGTTAGAAATTTGACACTTTCTTCTATTCTAATAAATATAGAGCAGCATAAATAATAAATCCTGTATAGATGTCTTGTTACGCAAAACAAATAGGCCATATTCCACCGTTGCCTCAAAATTCTTTATAAATTATTTTGTGACCTACAGGTCAAACCACCTAATGCTTTGTTATACGGTCAGTATGTCTTAAATGATCATCAACAAACTCCGGACTGTTCATCAAATGGCATCTTGTCTTATTACCATAAACAACCCTCCATTTAAACACATTAAAATAGAGAAAAACAGAATCCCTGAAACGTTGTATAGAATCTCAATTGTTTTACCTATTGAAAATTGGATACAGTAGGGACGAACTCCAGTATACATTAAGAACAAGCTACAGAAGAATGTACACAAAACTAAAACTTAAAAGTCTCAAATTAATTATACAATATAAGTAATTCCTATATGTAAATAATATGAGTTTTGTTACCGCAGTCTCACTTCGTTCTTTAAAAATATGTGACTATTTCAGAAGATGGCGGTCTCTTTCATAATATTATTATAAATCACGTTGAAAAGAATTTAAGATTATGTTTATATGCAAATAGTTTTACATAGTCCTATCTAGATTTGTATTATTGTTGAAATTTCATTTTTATGTCGAGTATTCTTTTTTTAAGGTTTATAACTATGATATAAGTTTGTTGATTTTAACGCATTTGAACATGTTATATATATCAGAAAGGCACTTAATAAATTTGGTGTAATGATAGATTTTGCTTTTGTTATCGACTGTTTTTTACCAGCTATAAGAAAAATATGTGTTTGTAAAACTTTAGGAGCGATTTTTGTTCCACTCACACAAAGAAGTATGTAAATTGTCGTCACGTAGTAATAAGCTATAACTATATACAGGTAAGCATTCAAATAAAATCTCAAAGACATTGGTAATCATATCAACTGTTACAGTTTCGTTATTTTCTCATCAATAAATATCAATAAATCATGTGGAATAACCCGCGGCTGAACGTATCCAAAATTCATA